TTATTCCCCTATCGCAGAAAACAAATCTATTCATGATGATTGCATCAATGAAACTGTAACGACTCGAAACAGCAAGTTTCCTTCATAAATCTGGGGCAATAAAAATTTATGTCCCCGTCTGAAGTTGCCCACTGCAACTTGCAAAGACATCATCGGAGAAGCATCACCGCCATCTCCGAATGGAACTTTATATGACAATAGATTAATAATTATGAAAACGACGATATCATTTTGGTGATACGAGAGAGAGGCAATTCGGAGAGTCCATTAAGTAAATTGTGGAGTGGTGGAGGAGTTTCATCATCATCATCATCGGCTCCTTCGGAGTCTTCCGTTCCGTTCCGCTCCGTCGACTTAATAAATACGAAAATTCTTCGCTCATTGTCTGAAATTCGCCACGTACAAGTCGCTGCTCTCTCTCTCGTTCCACCAAAAAGGCACATTATTAAAGTCATCAAATGCAAATTATTAATTATCCAGGGTAAACAGATCTTAAAGAGACGTGCAGACAATGGCGGAGGGCCGCAACAAAGCCGCGCATTGTCGCAACGCACTATCGGGTGCGGCAATTAATCATATTCTCGCTTGCAGACGACGACGAAGAGAGAGAGAAACTGAGTCATTGTCCGAAATCGTGGGGATCCTGTTTATTCAAATCGCTGCTGAAATTGGGGTTCCGCAATAGCTAATGACACGGTGTACAACGTAATCTCCTCCTCGAGTCCGGTCATGTGGATCGGCCGAAAAGAGGACGAGCACACATGAAGAGGATAGGCAAAAAAAAGGGATGCTCTTAATTAACGCAAAAAACGTGCACTTCTCCGCACGATGGATGACGGTGTGTAAGCCTTTTCGGGGATGTTTCCTCGAAACTCTCTTGATTCTATTAATGTTAACACCCTATATAGTATATATAAGACAATTTGTCATATCGTCGAGGGGCGCTGATTTATTCCCGTTTCCGACGACGAGAGGGCTGGGGAAAACGCGCCCTTCTCCAAACCCGATACCGACAAAAACAAAAACGAAATTTAATAATGAAAAAAGAAAACGATACACGAAATACACGCTCGACGGAGAGAGTGAGTGAAAAGAGAAGAGAGAACACTTCCAAATAATAAATAATGCATTTCGTTTCTGGAAAGAATTTAATGCGTATTGATTAATACAGAATTAAGAGAATGCCGTCTGCAGATGTTTGTGTGTGTTTCGCTATGCGTCTCGTTCACTCTGTGTGTATATATATATATATATTTATGTATACTTATATATATGTATTCTATATAAGCTGGATGTGAGTCCTGCGAGAGCGCTATTTAAAGTGCATATATTACCGATATATCTTAGATGTCAGTGCAATCGCATTAGGAATGCTAAAATATGCCATCTGGCTGATGATTTATGGGCGTTCGCAGGGAGCTCTTGCGAATTTCGAAACGGCCCGCTGGATGGAAACACTTCCGTTCTCCGGATTTGTTTAATACACTGAATACAATGTGCACTATATGTGCGCTACATGAGATGAAAAGAAAGATAGAGAGAGAGATGATCGAATAATAAAAAAATCATACTCGGATTATGTTCATCGATCCGCCAGTTTTCCGGTTGCCAAAACTTCCGGATTCTCATGATTTTCATTAAAAAAAAACATTATAGAAAAAATGTATCAAATTCATTTCATAATTCAAATTAAAAGTAGTTTATCAATTTTGTAAATATTGAAAAGTTCCTGCTGATTTTTGCTAAGTATCATTGGTGATGCCTGAATATAGCAGAATTGTGAAAAACAATGAACTTGTGTGTATATTTGGTTTGAATCAAATGAAACTGACACATTTAGTACCGTTTAGTGAAGATAGAAGAAAACAAAGTGCCAAAAATGCCACTAAAGCAGTGGTCGGAATTTTTTTTTAACCATTACTCCAAAATATTTTTGCGTAAGTCCCATTCTGAAAAGAAAACAATCAATGTAAAATTGAAATTTAATAAATTATTTATTAAATTAATTTACATTTACATATTTATAAAAAAAAGTTACATGAAAATTGTAAGTATTTAATAGACAAACAAAATAAAATTCTTAAATTGGAACAAACAAAAATTAATTGAAAACTTTCCCCCTTCAGGTTTTGGAAAAATGATGTTGCTTCATTTTTGATATAATTACTTCAAAATTGGGACTTTTTGATGTAAGAGCAATTTGAATACAGTCTTCGGCGTTTAATCGATTTCTGTTTTTCGTTTTTATGTTCATTAGAGTGGAAAAGCCTTGTTCACAAAGGTAGATTGTTGCAAATGGCAGCAATTTTTTTTACCGCCTCCTCATGTGTAATTTTGAAAGCCTTTGCAGCCTTTGTCAACCAAAAAGACGACAGATTTGCATTGGTCTCAAATTGAATACGTGCTTCAGTATTGGATCGAAGTTCAAGAATTGCCTCTGCCAAACCTGGAGGTTCTTCTGGTATGTTAGTAATTTCACATTTAAAAGGATCTACAACCCAATTCACAGTTTGTAAAATTTCCAAAAAAAAAATCATTTTTACCCCGGTTCCACGACCGCTTTAGATTAAAGCAACAACTAAGATATATTTTGCTTACGGAGAAGTTGTTAAATGAACTTTAGAAACATGATTATCTAAATTTAGAGCTGATGATTTCAGCCCTAAAGTTCTGCTAGTAATAATGATTAAATCAAGACATTAATCGAGAATAATACGCACTAAACGACACTTGAATGAGCAGAGATATTAAAAATTGTCAAAAACAACTATCGACGAATGTTTCTTAAGCTTTCTTACAGAAACCGTTAAGATATATGAGCAATTTAACGGACAAAAATCACGACAATATCAGCCTTTATATTTCTTGTTACAGTCGGACAAAGTTGTATTTGTCCACCCGTAATATTCACCAGACAATGCACTTTCGGATTTCCACAAAATTGGGTCTTTGCAAATTGCCATTAACTGTAATTTTTAGTCGACATAAAAAACCACCTGAAGAAGAGTTTTTTAGAAGAAAATCCTTATTAATTCTGAAAAATTACATTTCTAAAATCATGTATTTTTCCGGTTGCTAGGTTTCTGATTTCTATAGATTTTGTTTAATTTCCTCGACGCACGTCATTTCACGTCAAAATTCTCAGTGATCAGCAACACACACTCAAAATACATATGAAACATACATCCGATCATTTCGCAATTAAATCTCTTTCTTTTCAACGTCGACCGGATGATCGTGCTTCTTTCACGTCTCAACGAAGAACGCGAGGTGAAGATTACGCAACAACATGAAGTGCCAGCTCGAGAAACCCGCCGACTTTTCATTCATGAACTTCAAAAAGTTAAAAGGTATTTTTTTATTTATCATACTAATTCAATTAATCCAAATTAGTTCATGAATTTTACTTCATTCATCAAATTTCAACTGTTTTTTTTCTTCTTCTGAAATATCATTCATGTATTTTATAAAGTTAAAAAGTATTATTACTGTGTCAATTCATGCAATCAAAAGTTTTTGTAACTTAGAATAGAATTTAGTACAATTTCGTTCATAAGTTAAAAAATGTTCTTACTGTATTAAATCTTATTTTACAATCAAAACTGGTTCATGAATTTTATGAATAAAAACTTAATTTTTAACATATTTATTCATTTTTTGAATCAATATAAAAAAGAAATTAGTATAATTTTATTAATGAAGTTCAAGTATTTAAATAATCAAAAGATTCTAAAGTTTTTGTTATTTTAATAGAAAATTATTAAAATTAATTAGAAGATAAATAATTTTACAAAAATCTAAAGTATTTGTATAATTTTGAATATTTTTCGTAATCAAGAATATTTCATGAATTTAAATAAAGGTAAAAGATTTTCTTAAGTAAAATAAAAAGAGAAAATACAAAATTAATATGAAATTGATAATTCATGTTGATTTGTTGTATTTTTCATTTAGTCTTAGTTTAAGTATGTAGTATACATTTTCCTATGTTTTGTTATTGTAAATTTGTGGAATTTACTAAATCTGGTTGATTGCTGAGGTATGGATGCGCCACGGTATGAAATAGTTAGTATAAGGCGCACAGACAGTTACTCGGAACTATAGACATGAATTATCAGCTTGGAACTTGTCCAATTGACACTGGTACTTTTTGCTGATCAGCGATGGCCGAGGTGCAAGATGGAGCGTTAAGAAGAGAAGCAACACAAAAAAAAAATGCAGCTGTTTTGCAGTTAATTGAGTGCGAAAAGTGTAAAATAAAGTATATCATCGGAATGCCGTTCCATCAATGTGAATACCCAATAAAGGTTTATTAAGAAGTGCTAATGCCTCTTTGGCAGCGGTCGGCGTCGAAGAAAGCGATCGCTCCTCGAGGAATTTTAGACTATCCGCGGCATTCGGGCGCGGAAAAATAGAGCGAAAATAGATGATTGCGATGCGTTTGCAAAGGAAATTTCTGCATGGATGTTTACGTATGCGCGGAATGCCTTCATCCATTCTCAATGACATTTGCCAACTCTTTTTGTTTTATTATTCAAATTACTGTTTATCTAAGAAAATGATGGTTAAAAGATGTAAATTGAAGGATTAAAGTATTAATTGTGTGTTTGCTACAAAAGTTACAATTTTTTTAGAAATTTATGGATAACTTCAAATTACAATTTCATTATTTAAACACTAATGAAAAAAATAGAAATTTTCAGATATTAATGCATGAAAAGATGTAATTTAACTATCAAGTGTTATAGGTCTTTTCTCTATTAGAAAAAAAATACAATTTTATGAAATTTATGGATGAAAAAAACTAATGTAATTTAACTAATGGAATATAACATTATGAAAGTTCTTTTTTCTACTATAAAACTTACATTTTCCTACAGATTTAAGGATAAAAATATGAAATTTAACTATTGAATATAAATGTGTTAAAGGTCTATTAAAAAAAAGGACATTTCTTAAAAATTTAAGGATAAAAATATGAAATTTAGCTATTGAATACAAATGTTTTTAAACTAATATCTGTATTAAATTTATAAAGGAAAAACTGCTTTTCTCTATTCTTATAATTTCTGTATTTTAAGTATTTAAAGGATAAATTATTTAAGGATTGAAAGATCAAATTGTTAAAGTTTTATCTTTTTCTATTTGAATTATATTTTTTTTTTAATTTTGAATAAAAAAGTGAATTTTAAAGATTTTGTTAAATGAAGATTTAAGAAATTTCTGGTTACAATTTTTGTAAATTAAAATTTGTTAACTAATTAATTGAAATAATTTGTTTTAGTAAAGAAGTTACGTATTCTTGGTTGTATTTTGTTGAAAGGTTTTTTTTCTTGTTAGTTAATGATCATTGATGTTTTGTGCATGTTTGTATAGTTTAAGAGTACTTAAGAGATCTGAATTGGTTGAAATTAGTAGGTGAAATGCGGCGTTTAATTAAATGACTGAAGACGTTTCGTTTGTAATTGCAGGCACTAAACCCGATACAGTTCATACCACGAGGATCGGTACACCTGCCACTGGGGAATCGCACAAGTTCTTGACGAGAGCCGTCTGGTTGAATAACAATCGTCTCACCGACATCAAGTACGTCGACATCTTCATCGAATCCATCCTGGAGTTCCCAACGGCACTCGCCTGGCTCGATCTATCTTTCAATAACATCGAAGAAATCGATCTGGTTTGTTAAACACACAATTTTATTGATAAACTTAGAAAATTGATAAAGTCACTTATATATCAATCATAATCAAAGTATAAAAAAAGTATCAAGTTATTTAGAATGTTTTTGCAAGTTTGTTAAAAAAATAAAATATTTGTGAAAATATCAGAATCTTACTTTAGAGGAACAAATTAATACGTTTTTTTATTCAATTTATGTTTAAATCAAAATTTGGTTGCAATTTTAAATATTTTATATGAAGATTTTACAAATTTTCATTAAATTTGTGTTCAATCAAAATTGAATTACATTTTTTTGAAATCATTTTCTATATCCTGTATAATTTCGGAATTTACTAAATTTAGTATGAATTTAGATGAAGTTGAAGAATTTGAAACGAAGTTGAACAAAGTTAATGATTTTGATATCATTTAGATTTTCCTAATGAAAATAAATAAGTAAAGAAAATTTAGAAAGAAAGTTGTAGATATTTAATGAAAAAATCAAGTTATATAGATAATTATTCATATCTTATAAATTTTCTGTAGAAATATAACTTAAGCTTATTTTAATTATTAAATTTAAGTTAAATTAAAAATTTTCACGTATTTTGATGAATAATTATTGATATTTTGTGAATTTTGTAACGCATTTTGTAATTTAGATTATCTTTCAATAACATCGAAGAAATCGATCTGGTTTGTTAAACACACAATTTTATTGATATACTTAGAAAATTGATAAAGTCACTTATATATCAATCATAATCTAAATATAAAAAAAGTATTAAGTTTATAAATAATTTCTATATAAATACTACAAATGAATACTTTTCAAATCAATGTTTTTTACAGAGTTTATTGAAGTTTACGAATTTGCGTATATTGTATCTGCACGGTAACAATATAAGCGATGTGAAGGAACTGCTGAAGTTGAAGGCTCTGAAGCTGCTGAAAACGCTGACCGTCCACGGGAATCCGGTTTACAGCAAGAAGAACTATCGTCAGTATCTGATCACGATGATGCCGCAGGTGAGATTATCGCGAAGAGAGTTGCGTTGGAATTTGCGAAGACTTTACTTATTATTCTTCTTTGTCGTTGCGCAGATAGTGAATCTGGATTTCACGAGGATCACGGATATCGAAAGGAATTCGGCGACGGCTCTTCAACGTGTCATCGAATAAGCATTGAAAGAAAAAAATAAGTAAAGAGTCATATTTTAATTAGTCCGATGATTTTTTTTGTAAGTAAAACAATTTAATTAAATTAAAATTAAGAATTTTTAATTATTTGTAAGTAAATTTATTGATTAATTAAGAGGAAATACTTGCTTTTTTATATAATTTATGAAAGATTAGAAATTTTAGATTTTTTTGAAAATATAAAATTTCTGATTTTTTTTTGTTAATTTTTGCAAATTAATTAATTTATTAATTCTTAGTAATTTGAATGATCGGGAAATACATGTTTTTTTATATAATTTATGAAATTAACAAAAAAAATTCAATGATTCAAAGACTTTTTTTTGGGTATAGTTTATTAAATATTATCTTAATGTATATCCGATGGTGCGAACTTAAATACCTAAATCAATAAATCAGGATGCGATTTATTAAATTGATTAAGGGCGTTTTGTTCGTGCTCTTTTGTATTTATTATATAATAGTTTTTTTTTTGCTCTGTCTTTCTCTCTCTCTGTGTTTTTGTTTCGTTCGGATGTGTGTTGTGTTGTGTGTTGTGCAGGGGTGGGTTTCTGATGGCTAGAGGGGTTGAAAGAGAGAGAAAGAGAGAAAAAAAGGGGCGAAGTCCTTGTGTGCAAGACGTCCCTTATCAGACAAAGAGTCGCCTTGCGGTGACGTGGAAAAATCGCGTCGCAACATAACATTGACCGCGCCGAGACATCCATTGTTACCATCCATGTGACAGCGCGACTCTCCTTCTTTTTTCTTCTTCTCTCTCTCTCTCTCTCTCTCTCTTGCATCGCCTCCTTATATAACCCAAACCACTAATGATAACGACCGTCGCTAATGCACGTAAACACGTCATAACTTTGAAGGATTGAGACAGGAGAGGAGATTAGAAAACTTCGCACAGGTTCGGTTCTATATCCTCTTCAATCTTTCCACATTTGCTAAAGAGTTAAATAGCAAGAACAATACCAATTTGGAATCTAAATATAAATAGTATACAAGAAAAGTTTATAAGAAATTTATCAACAAAATTAAGTATTTAAAGAATTATGAAACTCTTGTTTTTTTTTATATAATTTATGAAATTAACAAATTTTTCCTTTTCTTGTGTACAAATCTTTCCAATTTAGTACCTAAACGTAAATAAATAAGTATGCAAAGTATATTTAGTAAAGAATTAAGATTAAAATTATTTATTTATAATAGTTTATGAATGTATGATTATTTGTATTAAGCATTACTTTGTAAATTACTTAAAACAGTTATAAAAAAAACTACAGTAAGTATTGAGTACAGATTTGATATTTAGAATGTTTTTGCAAGTTTGTTAAAAAAATAAAATATTTGTGAAAATATCAGAATCTTATTGTAGATGAACAAATTAATACGTTTTTTTTATTCAATTTATGTTTAAATCAAAATTTGGTTGCAAGTTTAAATATTTTATATGAAGATTTTACAAATTTTCATTAAATTTGTGTTCAATCAAAATTGAATTACATTTTGTATAATTTCGAAATTTACTAAATTTAGTTTGAATTTAGATGAAATGTAATAAAGAATATGAAACGAAGTGAAGCAAAGTTAATGATTTTGATTTCATTTAGATTTTCCTTATGAAAATAAATAAGGAAAGAAAATTTAGAAAGAAATTTGTAGATATTTAATGAAAAAATCAAGTTATATAGATAATTATTCATGTCTTATAAAATTTCTGTAGAAATATAACTTAAGCTTATTTTAATTATTAAATTTAAGTTAAATTAAAAATTTTCATGTATTTTGATGAATAATTATTGATATTTTGTGAATTTTGTCACGCATTTTGTAATTTAGATGAAGAAATGAACAATTTTAATGATAGTTTTTAAAGAATTTTCAGTTTTGAATTTAGATGAAAAATTTAAAACAAAGTTAAGAAATGGTCGTTTTTTATGTAAACAAAATATAGAAATAAAGTAGTGGATATTTAAAAAAATAATTAAATACTTGCATGAAGTTAGATGAAGAAATGTTATGATTCTTAGTTAAGATTAAAGCTTTGAAAGTAATTGATTTTTAAACAGAAAGGAGTAAATTTATTGATTTTTTTTTAATTGTTATACATTTTGTAATTTAGATGAAGAAATGAACAATTTTAAGAATAAAAAGTGATATTTTTTAAAGAATTTTCAAAGTTAAGAAATGGTCGTTTTTAAGTAAACAAAATATAGAAAGTAGTGGATATTTAAAAAAATTAATATATTAAATATTTTCGGTAGAAATATAACTTAAGCTTATTTAAGTAAAAACTGCTTTAATTAAAATTTTGCATGAATTTAGATGAAGAATTGATATAATTCTTAGTTAAGATTAAAGCTTTGAAAGTAATTGATTTTCAAACAGAAATTATTGATATTTTGTGAATTTTCATAAATTGTGTAATGTAGATGAGGAAATTAACAATTTTAATTTAGTAATGATGAAAATTGATAATTTCTAAAAGAAAAGAATTGAATTTTATCAATATTTTATAAATATTGATTTTATTGAATATAGTACACATTCTTACATTGATATACTATAAAGCTGAATACTATTAGTATTTCATTGCATTAATTGCAAAAAACTATATAAAATTGTTTAATTTTCATGTATTAAATACTATATTAATTCGGTAATTAATTTTGACCTAAAGATAGAAAAAAGAATACAGAAATCCGAATGGATGTAACTCTAAATCAATGATATTTATTAGTTATTTGTTGTGGCAAACATCGGTCGTAAATTAAACGGCGCGGATGCCGTAGATCACGGCATTCCCGTGGAATGCCCCAAAAGCGGAAAAAAGAAGGAGGAGGCATGGCATGGCACACGCGTTCCGCGGCAATATAAGAGCGTCGCGACGCAAATATATTTCATGGACGTCGGTTAACCGCCGCATCGCGCAAACTATTAACGCTCCATTCGCATCCCCTCGCTCTCATCCTCATATCCACGACCCTCTTCGCGTTAGAAGAAGAAGAAAGGAAGAAAATTGCTAATCAAAAGCAACAACCCGCGCGATGATAAATACCCATTTCAAGCGACTCATCATCATTCGTACGTGTAGTTGCGAAAATTAATTAATTAATTAACTTGCGCAATAAATTTTAATTTCAGTCTCGCAATCGTTGGTTTACGTGTTTAGTATTCATCTGATCTTTTCAACAATACAGGGGAGTTAAATTAATAACTCTCATTAATTTAACTTCATTTGTTTCAGTTTTGACAACTCACCGACGACTTAGATAATAATAGAAAACAATTAGTTCAATGAAATATACAATTTTTAAAGTAATATTTTGACTTGTTCTGATCGTAACTTGCACAATTTTCCTATTGTTATCTATCAAATTTATATCAAAAAATTAATTACAATGAAATATTTCTGTAATTTATTAATTATTTCAATTTACACATTAAACAGTCGGAAAATAACTAATTAATAAGTTTTTATTATGATTATTTAGTGTTCATCTACAAATTCATTAAATTTATATTATTATTAATAAATGATTTTACAAATTTATAAAATTTTCTTCTTGTTATTCAAATTTCTATCAATAATGGATTTTTTTCTGTAATTTATTAATTACTTCAAGTTACACATTTAACACTTGTAAAAAATAAGTAATTAACTAAATTTGTGTTGAAGTCATTAAGATTTTGAAATGAATTTGATAAAATTATGTTTGATCGTTGCTTCTAGAATCCTTGATTGTCGAGCGTTTAATTGCAGTTTCTTCATGAAAACTCATTCTAATAACAGAAATTACAAATAAATATATTACTGTTACTTCTTTAACCACATAATACTTAATAATGCATACATAAGTTTACTTATTATTTCTAATTTACTTAATTTAAATTTAAATTTCTATATAATTCGTGTAATTATACAAATTTTTTGAAATTAATTTAAAAGTTTCTAACAAAAGCTAAAAATCAAACATATATTTTGATATGATATGATTTTTTCATTATAAAAAGTTGCAGTTGGAGCTTTTCTTGTAATTTGTAATTAACATGGTTTTCTTATGATTATTTAATGTTCAAATTCATTAAATTTATATTATTATTAATAAATGATTTTACAAATTTATAAAATTTTCTTCTTGTTATTCAAATTTCTATCAATAATGGATTTTTTTCTGTAATTTATTAATTACTTCAAGTTACACATTTAACACTTGTAAAAAATAAGTAATTAACTAAATTTGTGTTGAAGTCATTAAGATTTTGAAATGAATTTGATAAAATTATGTTTGATCGTTGCTTCTTGAATCCTTGATTGTCGAGCGTTTAATTGCAGTTTCTTCATTTGTGCAGAGCTGTGCGTTTTTCCATGGATGGAAGATCTCAATCAAGGAGAACTGTAGGCAGTAGAAAAGTAAGTGCGTTTCCATTTTGCTCATCCAGAATTGAGTGGTTTATTTCGCGTTTCGTTTTGCTCTTCGAAGTCACCGTCGCCGACGCCGTCGTGGTCTTCTTCTTGTGCGATGGCCACAGGAGACACTCCACCATTTTGAATCTTTAACTAGAAACCAAAAACGCACCGAGAGATGTCGAGGAATCGCTGCTTCTTCGTCTCCTCTTTTATTTGTTTAGTTCTTGCTTTTGTTTCAATCCTCCGCCTCGATCTCTGCCGTGCCTCTCTTTCCTTTTCTCTTAGTTACGTGTCCTACGCATCCTCCGCATTATATGCATTGTCGCCGCACGTCTTCTCTCTCTCTCTCTGTTTCATTCTCTCCTCGTCTTTTGCTCTTTTTGGTGCGATCGGCGAGAGGCGACTAGCTGGTATGCCATCCATTCAACGTTTTTCCCCTTTTTGCCATCCAGTTCTTCAGCTTCTTCGGCTCGATTTTTTCATTTTATTCAATTATTATTTCTTCTTTTCCTTCTTCTCGCTGAAGATGAAAACGCGACTGGTCTTCTTACTATATGCACGTACGCCTCCCGTGATTGGCTGCCTC